AAGGAATGAAGTGAATTCAAAGTCAACATTATTCAAAAGTTTTTTATAGATGATTAGAATTTATAGTACATTGCCTAAAATTTGAGAACAATGTGTTTTGATATGCCATAACATTATTCACAAAATATTTACTATGCCTGTGCTTTTATCAATGATATAACATATACAGGGGTGGCCTAAAATTGCTGGGACACAGAGCTAACACATTTAATGCAGTTCAAAATAAGTTAATTGGACCCAACATATTTTTACATGAAAAAACATTTTTGTAGGCTATCCAAAAATGAGTGAAACAAATTGGACGAAATTTGACAAATTTTAGAGGATATATAACCCTTCTTTCAGTGATCAAAAAAACCCAATTGTAGCCCCTGCATTTTTTTTTCCAGAACATCTTTAGGGGTGCTAATAGGGTTCTCAAATTTTCTATACAAGATGACTGATAAATTTTCTTCTTTTTGTTCTTGTAAAATTTTTCGAAGGAAAAAAATGTTTTTCTACATAATGCTAAAAGATATTCCTAGTAAAAGTTTAATATCATTATAATGAAAAAAAAAATAGTGGAAACAAAGGCAGAATGTCTTTTTCAAAATTAATTTTCAATATGATGCTCACCTTCATCAATACAATGTAAATTCCTTGGTTTCCACTGCCAATTTGGTATTCAAATATTTTATCAAACTTTTACTAGAAATATCTGTTAGCATTATTAAAGAAAACATTTTTTTCCTTCTGAACTATGCAGAATACGAAATTTTCACATGAGTAACAAAATGAAGATAATCAATCAGCCATCTGGCTCAAAAAATTTGAGAACTCAATTACCACCCCTAAGAATGTACTGAAAAAAGTTTCAGGGTGTGAGGGCGGTTTATTCAACCCTTCTTGTTTGAACCTTGAATTCGTCTAAGGGACAAATGGTACCTTTTGTTATATAAACGAATTGGGTCCAATCAACTTTTCTTGACCTGTATTACATGTGGTAGCTCTAGCTCTATTTCCCAGCAAGGACACCCTGTATACATATATAACAAACCATAAAGAAACAAAATTTGATTGTATTTGATAATCTTTTAATAGCCATTACCAGATAACATCTATTAATAGTTGAATTATTGAAATAAATCCAATCCCATATCTAACTCTACTGCTTTGAATATTCACTTGAGATACCTCCTTACATTGTTTTTTTAGATAAGTTCTCAGATGTATTCATTGATTTGGTTGAAGAACAAAAGTGAAATAAAATTTGTCTAAAAAAAAAGTCCTAGTATGTTTTATTATCAATTTCTCTTGGGGGAATGTTGGCAAGGTATACAACAGATATCCACTCAATTTTATGGAAATGGAGGATTATTTGAAAGTACTGCTTAGATTTTAAAACAAAATGGAATTTGAAGACCACCACCAATTCCTCAGATTCATCTCAAAATTGATAAACAATATTTCAGGGAAAAAAATCTTCAAGAAGTTTTGCAAGGCCTAAAACTTTTGATTTAAGAGCCTGCAAAATGTGCAGGAGTGCAGCAGAATATTTATTCTAAAGTGCAAATTGTTTATTGAAGGATCACTTTGGTGTTCCCTAGTATTTAATGAACTGAAAATAAATACCTGGTGCCACCTTACTCTGATTTGAAAACAGTTTTTGGTTTTGCTGAGATTTTATATTCATTCAATTTGGTTGAAATATGCATATATTAGTTACTGAACACCCTGTAAACAGTTGCAAATTATAGTGAATCTTCCATATTATGTTATTGGTGTGATGGGCTCATAAATAAACTAACTAATCATAAAAGAAGAGATGTTATCAACAAAAAAATAGAAAGTTTCTAAATGAAGAAACCTATGTATATAGGTACTAAAATAAATTATCAGTAGGTATGCTTACAATGGAATTTGAGTTGAACAAATTATTGAGAGAACATAAATAGGACTCTATTCATAAGGACCCAATAAGTTCCTACCTAAACTGACTTGAGTGGATATATAAGTATACTTACTGATACAAAATAAATACAATTAAGGTGAAATTTTGTCAAGTAGGTTTGATAAATGGACATTAATAATAAGGCTATTGATATAGATTAAGTATATAGATCCATAGGAATCAAAATAATAGGTTTCTTAGCTAAAGATGGCAATTATGATATTGACTGATTGTCTGGAAACTGAGTAATTAGTATAGCTATATAAATATTTACTGTTTCAAAGGCACTGCTCCTTTTCTCAGCCTCATATTGTTTATGGATTCTGACGAAAAATGGCTGGAACATATCCGAAAATCTCCAGGTGGCAAAAATTTACCAACTGCGTCAGACCATTTTCTTCTAATATCATCGTCCTACATAAAATAAAATATGCATACCACGTTTAATAAGTGTTTCATTTGGAATATGTTGAGATATTAACCTTCGGGATTCTGTACAAGTGAACAGAACTATCTCTGGATTGTCCACAAACAATACAAAAATACATTGTTCAAAAAGGAATAAAACACAATAACAACACAAACACAAAAACAATACTGAACTGGAGAACTACAAAGAAAAACTACTGAACCACAGGAAAACACACAAATAACGCCAAAAGTCAATAATTTCACCAAATAATACCAAGTCACAAGAATTCAAATTAATCAACAAAAATGCCGTTTATGGACGATGGACGGATAAATAATGTTGGATGTCAACATCTTCTTCTTCATCTTCTTTCTTCTTCTTGGTTTCAACATCAAATTCTAAATTTTAAAATTTGACAATGACAATAATCGACTGTGGCGCTAACTATCGGCCGTTCTCCGAAACATCACCAGGTTTTTCGTTCCCATCGATTCGTTAGGGAGAGAAACAATTGAAGAATGACCACACCATGGTTATAGGCATCTTAGGTAAAACCTATATTGGTTACATTTACTACATCAATGAATATCAAATCATCTCGACAGTTCACAGTTGGATCGATTAGGAAATTGAGAAATATTTCCTTGATATTTCCTTGAAATGAAACAGCTGGCAACACAGGAAAAGGGATTATGACGTCAGTACTGAATAAGCGAATTTACCGCCGAAAGCTATGTTTGAACGTTCCATGAAATTATAGAATATTCAAATGGTGTTTTTTCAAGTATTATAGAGCATATGTTATCGAACAATTGATACAATCATGTGATGTTACTACTAGATTTCAGTAATATGCACATTTGAATCGAATTCACGCATTTGTGTTCTTGCCTATGTTGCTGATAAAAGTATTACAATTCTAATACAAACGCATCATAATTCTAATAGGTGTAAGTACCTGTTTTGTATAGTAATGTTCTTTTTACCAACTTTGACTGAGATTAACCAAGATTCTCAGTGCATCTTAGTCTGATGTGAGATGTGAGTTGTCTCAAGAACTTATTGAGACTATTTCTTTCCCCTCACCCCAACTGAGCTTGCTATTCATCTGGTGTTGTAGTGAGAAAAAGGTGAGACTGGATTAATTCTAGTAATATTGTGGTTCTGTGTTGAAAATTGTGAGATTATATTTTCATTTTGACATGCTTTCAGCTTTGAAGTTTCAGTCCACGGGTTAAATCCTTTGAATACTCACTACACTATAATATTTCTATGCTCCTCATTAATTTCCTCAGCCATTTTACATTTTGGTTGAATTATGTTCTCTTCCCTTGCCCTTCCTGACAGATAAAAACCTGTTCTTTTTATTCAATCGACAACTCAGATCCGTCTCACCTCCTTCTAACTCAATTGATTTCAGTAGTGAGAACGTAACAAGGTAAAAAGATTATATGCTTATAATGCTTTCAACATCTGACATCTGACTAAATGAACATATCTAAAAAAAATCCCACTTCTGGAAAACGTATCCCACTTCTGCCACCATTTCTCGCGAGGGTTTTACCGTCGGTCGGCCATCCCTATTAGGAAATGCAAATCGGCGGCGTGACCTTGAACGTTCCAGCAGATATCCTATGTATGATTAGATCTTCGCGTTGCAGGTAAACGAATTAAGCGAGGTCAAACAGATTGAGTGATTAGTTTACCTCGCACCGCACTTTCCGCCGTCCGACGGCGGTGGCGGCAGATCGGCGACGGTTTGCCGCCGCCGCCGCCTCAACGCCGAGTTATGCAAATATGGCGGACGCGTTCCGGATGGGTTTATTCGGATTCGTAGGGAAATGCCTCAATGGAAAAAACAACTTGCTCAAGCTCAATACGATTCATCATTTTCATGAATTCTTTACTTTGGAAATGATCATATATGATTCCTCATGTTGATGATCAAAATAATTGGCCGATTCTAGCCGTCTATTCCCATAAATATTACCTTGTCATGATGGAATGCAATACTCTGTATGTGATATTATTCTCTATTCGAATAGAGGGTTCATGAAGTAGTAATTAGACGTGGAGCGTTTATTTCTACTGAAGATTTATCACGATTTAGAGCACATATTTCAAATCGATGCAAAATATTCTAAACAGCCACAATCAAATGATTGACACCATGTAGCTCGAAAACTGGTCATAGGATCGATCTGTAAATTGGACTGTGTGATAAGGACGCTAATATCTGAAACATATCAAATTTTCAGAAAAATTTGCCGAAAGCCATTTTCCGTACTAAATGTGCGGGGTCCTTTCACAAACCTCAAACTTTTGTGACAAAATTGCCCATTAGGCAACAGTTAACTAGCTTCATGGGCAACATTTTCCTAATAATATTATCAACACACTTGTTCCATTGAAATAAACCTTCATTCTCAAAAATGTGTAGCCAATATTTGGAACAATAGTTGAAATGGCACAATGAACATTATTTTGCAACTATGCTTTAAGGAATTGAAGCAACTAATAATGTATATTTCATTTTCCCCAGAAATTTTCACTGATATAGCGAGTTCAGACAAAGCACCATATTCAATTTCAATGATTATGGTAGAAAACAGTGACATTGATTTCCGAGACTATAGTTCAACTTTTATGTTTTTTTAGATGAGTACGAGTTCGTACCCAGGCATGGCTCAAACTTTCTCAATGTCACATGGCACTAACATGAGCACAGTGGCTGGTATGAGGCAAGATGCAATGAGTAAGTATATATGTACTTTTTTTTCTCAAATTTTGTTTTCCTTAGACATGCTTCAGAAAAACATTGGATTCGATGTGACATTTTTAAGTTCATGAATGTGGAGTGGAATGATCAAGTAAGTCCTCTCCACAAGTTAAATGTTAAAAAAGATGCAGTCAATCCTGCTTCCATAAGGTTTGATACATGTTTCGACCATTCAAATGGCCATCTTCAGTCAAATTGGTAGATCAAAGTGTAAGTGGAAAATTTTTAAAACATCGTGAATGCGAAAAACGGAGGAGAAACCTCAATCTTAATACATATAGTAGTGGTCTTCGGCTACCTATGACGAAGTTCATGTTCATTTAAATACCATTTTTCAATATCAAATTAATTAATCATGTATTAAGATAAAGTTTTCTCCTCCTTTTTTCGCCTTCACGATGTTTTCAAAATCTTCCACATACACTTTGATTTAACAATTTAACTGAAGATGGCCATTTGAATAGCCTAAACATGCCTGAAACCTGAAACCTTATTGAAGCAGGATTGACTGCATCTTTTTTAACATTAAACTTATGGAGACGACTTCGAGTTTTCTTTCTTAATCTATATTATTATTATTGAGCACTTCTGAACTGTTTGTTTAGATGGATATGACCAATTAACACAAATAAAATCAAAAGTGAACCAATTAAAACGAATAAAGTATACTCCGATACGTGGCGTACGCTTATTTTCTATCGCAAATATCCATGGTTTATCACTAGTGAACTGAAATAAGTGAAATAGAACACATATTTTGGTTAGGGTCTTCAGTTTTTCAACTATTTTCCACTGTTGCCAAATTTACAAAATAGTTTGGGTCATCAAGATTAAAGTGTATTTTTGGTATACTTCATCAAATTGTCAGAGTGGAATCTCCATTGCCTGCTAACACATATATCTCTGAGGTTATATGGGCCCTATTTCTATCATCTATAAATAAAGTAATAAGTTGGTATCTGACCTCAAGACGTTCCCAATATGATATTGGAGTCCGGTCTGTGGGCAGGAATCCATCCGAAAAACGGAAATGGAACTTCTTGGAAGGCGTCCGACGTAATCAGAGTGCATGGCACAGGAAAATAGGTAATTTCCTGTTAGCTGGATTTTTTCAAAGATTGCAATATATTGCTGAGCGACTCTAGTCAATATAACCTGGGATTCTAAAGGTTCTTCTTTGAAAACTGAGGACAGAAACTACCAGTGGCGTAACTTCATATTTTGACCCCCCCCCCCACCAAAATCATCTAGGGCCTCCCTTCTTTCCATGAACTATTAGTTATATTTATTAATTTTTTACTTTTATTTCAGTTATTGCATTACATTCTCTTCTTCATTGATACATTTCATACAAATAATATATAAAGTATAATTAATTTTCTATATTGAATAACCAACAAGCTTCACAATACGCTTTTTTTTCTTTGGGTGAATAACAACTATTTTCTTGGAATAATTTGCCCAGCATGACTATTCTGTGAATAATAAAAATTAGAGAAACTCATCTTTTGGAAAATTTATATCAGACGGGCCGTTAGGAACAATAAACATTGCCTTTATCACAAGGAAATGATTCTTCAATTAATTCATCCAGTAATGAATCATCTGACTCAGTTCCATCTCCAGCCCAGCGAGCACAAACATCCCTGGGATGTTTTGGGATGTTTTGAAAATGTTGGCATGAAGATGTTATTTTGAGACGTAATATGCACTGACCAAAGAGGTCTCTGAAGGATATTGAAGTATTGTTTTTGTTCTTCTGTGGCATTTCTTTGTTTGCCTACTGAGAGGTATCCCTGGGATGTTTTGGGATGTTTTAAAAATGTAGGCATGAGGATGATTTTTTGGGCGTAATAAGCACTTCCCAAAGAGGTTTTAGAAGGACATTGAAAGTATTGTTTTTGTTCTTTTGTGCCCTTTCTTTGTTTGCCCCACCACAACGTCTCATGCTCACGTCACAATACGATGAATTCTGATTTGTTTTCGATTTTGTTCTTCTTGCTCGCAATTGGCATTCGCGTTTGCAGCGTGTCACGCTTACATCACGCTGCTAACGAACAGAAAGGAATTTGGTGAAGTTTATTGTGTTAGAAGACTCATTTAGTTTGTAATAATGACCATCAGATGCAAGATGTGTTGTTCGGTGCCTCAGTGTAATCGATATATAAAAGTACGAATTCATCAATACACAGCTTCTCCGCAGTTGCAAAATTATGCATTGTGGAGAACATTCCAAAAATTGGGAAACTTATTTCCAATTATAATAATATGTCTGTGTTGTAAGCACTACTCAGAAACCGATTAAGAAGGTCATTTCATATCAAGAAAATATTTTTATGTTCAATCTATTTTTAATGCATTTTTTCATTCAAGGGAAATGGAATCCTAATGCAAAAGTTCACAAAAGGCTTCAGAAAAGTACCACGAAAATGGTTTTTTTACAGCGATTTTATGTGCGCAAGACGCGTTGAGAATGTTCTGTTGTGTCCATGAAAAGGCTTTAAAAAGAACTAGGGAGAAGGCGGACATTGGCTGTTCTATAAAAGTTCTATTCATGTGTGAACAGAACATCGCAGTAGAGGTTCAATGTCTCGAAATCTCGTACTTTTAACATCTCGGAGATGTTTTTGTGCTCGCTGGGAGGAGTTCTCGCATTCAAGTCAGGTATGGGCTCCTCGTGGATTTCAGATATAATACTTTTTATATTCACACCATGTGTACCTACAGTTTCGAATGCAGTAGTAGCAGAAGAGTCTCGTCCTTTGCTAAGTAAAAATTTGATATTTTTTCTATATACCTTTATTTCTCTTCCCCAAACTTTTTTTCAATACAAATTATTGTCACTGACAAGCTAGTGAATTTTTCTTTTAGGCTCTCTGATAGGAAAATTCTATAAACGCAGTGACATTTTGGGGCAAATCATCTGATTTGACCTTACTACACGTATATTGAATAAATAATATTCATATTTTCATTTTATAGAAACGGGGGGAGAGAAAATCTAAAAAAAACTGGAATAATGGTTTTTCTTCCATAATAATTGCAGAGTCAACATCCATTCCTGTTTCAATCATCATACTGCTACTACTTGATGGACATTCATCATAATATTTAACTCTGTACTTACTCTGTATTATCCGAAACAGTAGTAGTATTCGTAAAGAACGTGGTAATCTTGGAAATTTTACACTTCTCATCTTCTAACTTTTGTTTCCTTCTTCTTTTTGAAGCACCACTAGTTTTAATCAAGTTCTCCATTTAAAATAATTGGCTTGTATCGTTGATTTCACACATCACCCTGGACCTACACTGAAAAAAACATGCCTGCACTATTCGCAGAACGCGACGGTGTTTCAGGCAGAAATTATTGCAATACATCATTGCGTGAAAGAATTGATGAGGCAAGAGTTTAAAGGCAAAACCATTGCAATCTATTTAGATAGCCAGGCGGCAATCAAAGCAGTCAACTCTATGCAAGTTAACTCAAAACTAGTATGGGAATGCTTAGAAACCCTAAATGCACTGGGCAGTCAGAACCAGATTGACTCTAGCATGGGTACCAGCACATACAGGGTACGAGGGCAATGAAGAGGCAGACTCACTTGCCCGAGCAGGAGCAAACAAAGCTCTTAATGGCCCAGAACCCTTCTGTGGTATTGCGAAAGCTATACAAAAGACTAGTATCAAATCATGGATGCAAACTAAATCTCAAGAATGGTGGAACAACTCGCCAGGAATGAGACAGGCAAAAGAGTTTATTAAAAAACCATCGCCAACATTCACAAAATATCTACTAAGCCAGAAACGAAGTTCAACTAGAATACTAGTGGGACTTCTCACAGGGCATTGTAGGCTCAACAAACACATGAGTTCGATAGGTCTGACTGAAGAACTGCTGTGCAGATTCTGTCAGGAAGAGGAGGAAACAGCAGTACTCATACTCTGACACTCTGAGCGCTTGTCAACACTATGGTTCCTTACGCTGGGTGAGGAAAAGCCAAGAGCCCAGAGATACACAGGAGATGTGAAAGCTAGCCTACAGAGTCTCATAGAGAAGGCGGGGCTAGCAGAAGAACTCTAATCGATTTTGAGGGCAGGCACAATAGATCTGAAAAGGTCGCAGTGTGGAGGCAGATAGCCCGAAAGCCTCATTCCAATCTATTCGCAAAAAATGGAAACATTATTTCTGTGGCATATTCATACTTGAAAAATATTCATGTATCAACCAATTTGGCTGAATCCTTGCTCTGGTTGGTGGACCCAGGGCCCCCTCCGAGGAACGGGCCCCTCCTGCGGGGTTTCGCGGTGTAGTAGTTACGCCACTGGAAACTACCCACCATTCTCTACCTCCATATAGTTCACTATCAAAATGTTTTCACCCTCTATACGGGGCATTCTGAAAAACGTAATTATTTTTTTGTATTTAAATGTTATTTTTGATATTCCAGGTATGTCGGCTGAAGACGAATGGTATAACAAGAGTTTGTCAGCCTTGAGGATGAACTCCACACATCATCCGAATCTAGGAGCCCCAATGTTGCAATATCAAACGTAATAAATACAGTTTTGTGAATAAAAAGTAAGGAAAATGAGAATCATTTTTAAATGGATATTGACTTTTCTCAATTTGTACAAAGTTACTTGTGAGCATACCTATTTTCGTTTTAGTTCATCTGTATAAAATATACTTAGGATTTATCTAGTCAATCACTCTAGTCCTTGTTTTTGAATGTACCTTTTCATTGTTAAATGATATTTTCTTGATATTATTCAGATTTTATATTTTAATTTAAGGTAAAACTGCACTTATCATGCGATGGGTTTTTGGTACAGGGTGATTCGCCATAAATGCCCCCCCCTCTCTAGCTCAGTTATTTTTGAACCGTTTACAATATCATCTAAAATGATTTTCGATAGAGTTTTTTTCCGCTAAATCAGAAAATACAAGGTGCTCGGAACAAACGATCTACAGGGTACTATTTGATTTTTTCAAATGGAACAACCTATTATTCGTTGTATTTTTAGATTCTCCCTGAAGAGCTGATTTCATCAATGTATCACACTTGGGGTCTAGCGGGAATGATTACAGAGATATAGGGTTTTCAAAATCGGGATTTTTCAACTTTAGGATTTTTCTGTGACGAAACTTTTCATTATCCGTCAAAACAGCTTTCATTTCCGTATCTTAAATCTTGATTTACTATACAGGGTGTTCAGAATTTTGAATCTTGAACCACACTGTATTTGTTCCAATTAAATGTCAGTAGATAGTAGTGAGATGATGACATTACAGCCGATTTGACCAAAAATGAATAGTTTCGACACAAAAAAATCCTAAAGTTGAAAAATCTCGATTTCGTACACCCTATATCTCTGTAATCATTCCTGCTAGACCCCAAGTGTGATACATTGATGAATTCAGCTCTTCAGGGAGAATCTGAAAATTCAATGAAATACAGGGTGTTACATTTGAAAAAAACCAAGTAGTACTCTGTAGATCGTTTGTTCCGAGCACCCTGTATTTTCTGATGCAACGGGAAAAAAATTTCTGAAAAATCATTCTAGATGATTTTTCAAATTTTTAAATAAGTGAGCTAGAGGGGGGGGGGACATTTATGGTGAATCACCCTGTACTTACGTATTTTTGTCCGAAAAACACGAATTTGATAATGAAAATGTGAACAAACCATTATTTATTAAGATATTTCACTATAAAGTTACAAATTTCACCTTCTCTTGGATCACATTTAGAACAAGTTTCCCTTCTTTTTTCATCATTGGACAATTTATATATCACAATGTACTTCAATGGCACATTTTTTTCTATTATATGAGTCAACTAGAAATATGATTTTCTTTATTTATCCATATTTTTAGTGAAAAGAAGGAAGAATATCATTTGAAATAATGGCGTGTGTAATGTCATTCAAAAGCAATCTGTTGACATTTGATATCTCGTATTTGGATAAATATGAAAAACTCGCCATAAAAATCATATTTCGTGTTGAATTTTCTATATAAAAATGTGTCATTGAAGTACATCATGAATATATAAAGTGTCCAATGACAAAATAAGAAGAGCAAGTAGCTGTAAATGCATCCAACACAGGGGGAAAAAGAAGGCGAAATTTCGAAATTTTTCTTGAAATATCCCGATAAATAGTGGTTTGTTCACATTTTCATCATCAAATTCGTGTTTTTCAGACAAAAATACGTACATACCAAAAAAATTTCGAAAAAAAAACCATCGCATGATAGTGGCAGTTTTACCTGATTTAAATTTGTTATTACTTTTCGATTAAAACAACGAGTAGAATGAATCTGGAGATATTGTGATCTTGTATATTTCAGGCCACTCATAAAAATTGTGTCAAATGAATGTAAGAAATAGAATGTTGTGCGTAATATCGTTTTCGTTTTTGTGATAAATTAGTAGTTGGTATCCTTGTAAAAATAATGGCCATAGTTGGGTATGAAGATTAATTTATTTGATTCATTTGTATTCTCATAGACTACCTACTAAAACCCTTTTCTTGTTTAATCGATACTTGAACAATGTAAAAAGTACCAATCACAATTCAAAATATTCCATAAAAAATTGGCCTTTCTTCTATTCGCGGGAATCAATGTTACCAGGTGGCGCTCGGTTTTCATCGTTCCATGTCAAGGCCACGTCAAAACTGGGGGAAAACAAACTCAATCCTCACTCAATCCCATTAGTGCCATTAGCTTGTGTACTGTGTACTGATAAGAGTGATAAGTTTTCGAATTTCTTGACATTAATGGGCTTTTATTCACGACTAATATATTATACTTGTGGTTTTTGAAGTATAATGCCATATATTAATCCCGCAGGGAATAAAGACTATTAATCCCTCGCCATTATTCCCTGCGGGATTAATATATGGCATTATACTTCAAAAACCACAAGTATATATATTAGTCGCAAATAAAGTAGAGTATACTACTCGCAATAATGGCTATTATTCTCTCGGAATGTTACTCCCTCGCCGCTAACGCGGCTCGGTTCGTAAAAAATCCTCGAGAATAATAGCTATCATTATTGACTCGTGGTATAATCTACTATTTTATAAAACGTAGGGAGCTCACAGCAAGGAACGGTTTGCGGTGGTGAGCTAGTTTGGGTGAGTTCAATCGAATTATGGAATAAAATTTTTTTTGGCAATATTCGATCGAAAACGCTAATAATGCCTGTAGTAGATGTTGTTTTGGCAGATATTTTGCTCTATTTAGATGGAGAAAGCCGACCAGTAGTGGAAAAAGAAGCAGAGTTCTCCGTGCTAATCATGTGATTTTGTGTGAGGCAGAAGACTTCAACAAAAGGCACATTTTTGCACTTTGTCTACAAACTTCGGCGATGAAATCTTCCACACATGAAGTAAAATTGAAGTTGGGGTCCAGAGGAACTCCTGTAGAACAATGGATTTGTATTTGTTCATGCAAAGCAGGACAATCTGGGTATTGTAAACATGTTGTAGCTGTTCTTTTATATGTCAATTGATTTGCTCGTCATAATCAGTTTGAATTGTTTGAACTATCTCCAATTCTTCACCTGTTCACTGTTCACTAAACTAATAAAAATGTAATGATGTAAAAAAATTAACCAACTCAACCATCATCACTACCAACAGTGCCAACACTTTATGTCATTGACAAGTTTGACTACAGCTACAGCAAGCTGAATGCAATGTAGTCTATGCACTTTATCCATAGACAACAGTTTGTTTTCCCCCAGTTTGAAGTTCGTATCATGTAATCTAGATGTCGCCCACTTCGTGAATCTCGCGAATATGTGAAAATAACAGGAAAACATGAAGATTGTGTATGTTGTAAAATTTCACGAACCTTTTGATATACTTATCTAAGACTACCCGCATACCTAAGGAATTACTGATGTAGGTAGATAAGAATAATACATGTGCCAATATCGTAATCGCATTTTGTGTGATTGTACTTTAGAATTATCGACATGTAAAATTGTACATAATTCAAAAAATAACTGATACTAAAAATAATCTTCATTTCAATTGAATGCAATTCTGCAGCATTACAATTATTTTCATTCATTTCATTGTTTCACTCTATTTTTCTGTTCATTTTTTTAAATAAAAAGCTGTTATTATCTGGAGGAATAATTATTTATTTATCATTTTGAATACACTACCACTACTCTAGTCTTATTGAGTAACCTTATGCTTCAAGGTTTTTTTATGTAAAAACAAAGTATAGAAAATTATGGAAACATAAATATAGCATTAAACGACTTACAAATATAATAAATATTTTGCTTTCAATTTTATCATCAAATCATATCAATATCTAATTAATCACTAATAAAATGTATTAAAATTATTAATTAATGAGCTATATACAGGGTGAGATAATTTATCAACTGGTAGCAAGTGGAAATGGACCTTTCAGCACATAAATTTAGTTTCAAATAATAGGAGAAAGAATGAATCAAAATTCATACCAATTAGTTACAAAGGACCCCGCACGAAAACACGGGAAATTGGCTCTTGGTCGAATTGGCTGAAATTTTACTATGTTGTTGTGGGATGGCTCATCAGAAAAATATGTGAGTTTGAAAAGTTTTGTATGTTTAGTTCCTGAGATATAAGCCGACAAAGTTCGTAAAAACGTCGTATCGGGGTGGAATTGACAAAGAAAAAAACACATTTTTTAGTATAAATAAGACAAAATAAGCTAGAAAATGTATTGATCGGAACTCAAATACATGTCTAGTTATGATCACATTAATTATAGTAAATCTGGGTGTATACGAGGCACGGTCAAAAAATTCATTTTTCGGAAAAAAAAAATCGAGCACTATTCCAAAACCAACAAGTTATATTTTGGTGAGACCTTATAGTTTCAGTCTATTGTAGGCTTCGAAAACGTATTTTTATTTTTGATAACTATCTCTGTTCGAAATATGAATTCTTTGAATTTTGTGTTATACCCCTTTTGGAAATCAATTGACAGCTTGTTTTTGATCACAAAGAAAGGAATTGATTGATGGTGTTGATTGAATGAAAGCTGAGGTAACTCACTAGCGAATTCAGTTGTTCAATATTGCCTTTCATTAAGATAGGTACAGGGTGTTAGATTTTGTTGAAGATTATTTGAAATGTTTCAATTGAATATCTCGAAAACAGATCCGTTAATTTGGATCTCATTTTACTCACACTATTTTGAATATGTTGACTATCATATGCAAAAAGTTTTTCAATTTTGTATGTTTCGTTTCTGAGATACCTATGTATCTCTATAATACCTGTAATACTGTAAACTCAAAAATTGATATCTCAGAAACGAAACATAAAAAAATTGAAAAACTCTTTGCATATGATAGTCAACATATTCAAAATAATGTGAGTAAAATGAGATCCAAATTGACGGAACTGTTTTCGGGATATTCAATTGAAACATGTTAAATAATCTTCAACAAAATCTAACACACCCTGTACCTATCTAAATGAAAGGCAATATTGAACAACTGAATTCGCTCGTGAGTTACCTCAGCTTTCATTCAATCAACACCATCAATCAATTCCTTTCTTTGTGATCAAAAACAAGCTGTCAATTGTTTTCAAAAAGGGGTATAACACAAAATTCTAAAAATTCATATTTCGAACAGAGATAGTTATCAAGAATCAGAATTCATTTTCGAAGACAACAATAGACTAAAACTATAATGTCCCACCAAAATATAACTTGTTGGTTTTGGAATAGTGCTCGATTTTTTTTCCGAAAAATGAATTTTTTGACCGTGCCTCGTATACACCCTGATTTACTATAATTTATGTGATTATAGCTAGACATGTTTATGAGTTCCGATCAATACATTTTGTAGCTTATTTTGTTTCATTTATACTGAAAAAAACAGTTTTTTTCTTTGTCAATATTACCCCGATACGACGTTTTTACGAACTTTGTCGGATTATATCTCAGAAACTAAACATAAAAAACTTTTTTTCTACATTCATGCAAAAAGCAGAACTTTATTGAACTATATTTAGTGGAAAAAGAAGTTCTTTATTGCACTAAGTGCAATAAAGTTTTTATTGCACTCGTCTGTCATTCTACTCCAATGTGCTGTCATCATGACAAACATTTTTTATATTGCAACTGTGGTTATTGAAACGTCAGTCAAAAATTAATTCTGACTACGAAATATTCATATTGAAAATTGCACCAATTGTTCATTCACTTTCAACATTGGGGGTAAAAATAAAGTTTGAGTTAAATTGTTCGTAACGTATTAGTTCCTGTTTCAATGCAAATCGATATTAATAATAAAGTATTCAAGTTGCGTTTTTCATTTTCCTACACCTTGTGCCGCACCTCAATAAATTATTTTTTGCTTTTTGCATGAACGTAGAAAAAATGATGTGTGCAACTCGTGCAATAAACATTCACTTTTTGCACTTGTTGCATAAATAACTATTAAACCCACATATTTTTCTAGTGAGCCATCCCACAACAACATAGTAAAATTTCAGCCAATTTCCCGTGTTTTCGTGCGGGGTCCTTTATAGAAAAGAAGCTCTAAATTCATCAAAAAGGTCCATATTGGACTATTTACAATTATGTTCAACTTTACCACCAGTAATACATTCCTTAACTGTTAATATTTTATTTACAAATTAATACAGGGTTTTCCCCAAATGAAAGAGATTAAATTAAAAAGTCCAGTTATCACCTACTGAACAAATCTTAAAACACACAGAAAATACATTCTATAGGAACCCCTCTGAAAAAAATCCTCAAATGATTCTTCAGAGACAAACACTCTTCAACAGGAATTCAAAGAGACACCCACTATCAAGTAATCATTCATCGAATACAGGATGTCAGAGGGATCAATTGATGAGTGATTAGACGGACCTTAGGAAAATGTCATTTTATTGCTTCTCATATCAGTATGGACGTCTCTAGAAATAGTCATTTCCAGAAAATAGTCACCAAGTGATACTAAAATGATAAGAACAGCATTGTTAATAAATTAATAGAAAGTTGATTAATTGATGCAGTCGCCATTGAAAAAACAACAATCATTGTATCCAGTCTTTTTTTATAAATGTTGACTTTTTTATCTGAACTTTCTGTGAATTTAAGCTACTCTTTCTGAATTATATTCAGTCCTCTTTCACCAATATAGCTTCAAATTTAGATAATTTCTCCGCGTTCTCTTTTAATTCATACCGTTTTATTCAGTTTCAGATATGTATCTCTAAATTCAAACTTTACAAAATCAAAAAGACAGGATATAAACCGTCAAAATTGGAAGAACATTTTCCTCTCTCTATACTGAATTAATATTGTATTGGCATTAACATAAGAAATAATAGCTGAAAAATAATTGTGATTGAGGATAATAGTAGATTGTTTTATTAGGATCAAAAGTGACACTTTGTTTGACAAGCAAAATTTGCGAGTCGAACAAAGTCACCTTTGATCCGAATGAAACATGCTATTTTTTCTGCAACCGAAACAATTAACTCAAATAAACATGTGAAGTAACCACCAATGCCGTGCCATATGTATGCAATGCAACAAATATTGACAAATAATCCATGTGGTGAGAATATTCTACCTGCATTAACAGTAGGTTAGGTTTTCTAGGATGTTCGAATTGTAGTTTCAATATAAATACAATCACAGAGTGACATATTTGTGTATGGACCAGGTGCTCTAATGGCAAATACCGCGCCAGTGCCAGCTATAGGAACAAGACGAGGAAAATGTTAGGTTAGTGAGCATACCAACAATGATAATAGTGATTATTTATTCCTCTCCATACTACACTGTGTTTGACTTGATAATCGAATGAAGCTAAACAATATCGTTGTTTGAGACGAAAAACTATTGATTGCCGTTATTATTCAAAAACAAGTTATCCATCCCGAGAATAACGAATGAAATACAGATACGCAAGTATTTGAATCTTGAAGGCTTCCCTGATCAAAACAAAAATACTTGACCAATATGTTTATAATTCCAATACTATAATAAGGTGTATTTATATCTCCAGCATGGGTATGAAATGACAAATCTGCTGAAATCGGAAACAAATCAGGTATGCGTCTCAACCCAAATAACCAACCGTCACAATGTTGTTCATTCTTGATGACGTCCAGTACATCCTTTTTAGTTCCTAGGAGCTAAAGTTCAACTTTAGCTCCTAGGAACTAAAATTCAACTTTAGCTCCTAGGAACTAAAATTCAACTTTAGCTCCTAGGAACTAAATATGTTGCCTAGCAACATACCAATTTTTGTGTCAGTAATAGAAACGTCAATTTAAGAGCTAATTTTGGTATCAAAATGGACGACTTTTGTGTCGGTTGCAGAAAAAAGTATCATTTTGTTCTTACCTATGGTTATTCAATGGACTTCAATGGAAAAAATGTGAAAATCGGGTGATAAATGAAAATTTTAGGTGATCTGCTTTCAGGTAAAGAGTGAAGAAACGATGTTCATGTTGCTGGGACTAAATTAGATTCAATTTCAATTCATTGTAAATGCTACTGCTGAAACATTTTGAATATCTGCCATCAGAGGCAAATAGAATCATCCATTGTATAAAAAGTAAAAAAAATTCAATTCAGACCTCACACAAACCAACTACCAGATAACGAATAAATTGTTGGATTGGAATAAACGATTCTCGAGAATGAGCACAAACACCTGACCAACGGACATTGAAAAAACTTTACCAACCGACATTAAAACAGTGGATGAAATTTCGCTCGCCGCCTAAATACACTCACCAGCAAAAGAAACCGGCCACCAAAAAATTTGCCCAAACTGTTCACCCTGTACCTTTTTCAAGCATTGTCCGATTTTTGTGAAATTTCGATCAAATAGTAGATTCATGTTCCGGAATGTTAGCATAAATATTAGTGTTCGTGAAACGCTGATAACTTGATCATTATACAGGAAAAAACCAACGTTACCCTTTCACCCTTTATTTCTCCACGCCCTGTGGCAATATTGCGTGGTTGAACTGGGCTTCATTATGCTTTGGATTGAAGTGTGATCCTTTCTTAACACAATAGTTTTTGATTCTCGTCAATATCTCAATTTTAAAAGAAGATAGGAGTGTTTTAAGAAATTATGGCATTTTTCAATTTCTTCTACCACTTATCAGCAGGGGGATTCTGTTTCACGATCGTCGTACGATATGATGATGAACTCGAAGTCGAATTCATTTCCTATTATACAGTGTCATTCATACAGTCGGCATCGTATGGGAAAAACTTTTATTAATGTCTTATTTTGGAATTCGAGTTGGACGTTGAGTTTTGCTTCAAAAACGATTAAAAATGGCCTACTCAATCGGGGTCACGTGACTTTCGCAACATGTCAAAAGTGACATTTTTTCAAATTGATCGCTGAAAGTAGGCTTATTTGTTCGAATATCGAAAAAGTTTACTTGAAAAAGTTGTTTCTATTTCAATTTTACACATGCTTCTCGAATTCGATCCTTCTATTGCAACTTTTAGATTTTTATTTTTTTTTTTAATTTTTCAAAATTTCTGTAATATTTGAAGAATTGTTAATTTCACGAAACTACTTCATACCAGTAGCTTTTTCATGCTTCTTACTTTCAATTACTTATTATCACTGATTATGGACAGAAATATGATTTTCTTCAGAAAATGATAATACCCGCTTCCAAATTCTGTTATGTTCGATGCAAAGTTGATATATTATCGTCAAGGATTTAGAAACGAAATCCATTTAAACTGATCTTTTCAGTACTGAAAAAATAAATTCAAATGAATTTCGTTTCTAAATGCTTGACTCAAACATATCATTTTGATGTTATGTTTGCATCAAACACAACAGAATTTTGAAGCGGAGATTATCATTTTCTGAAGAAAATCATATTTTTGTCGATAATAAGTGATAATTAGTAATTGAAAGTTAGTAGCATGATGGAGCTACTGGTATGAAGAGGTTTTATCGAATTTACAATTTTTTTAATATTACAGAAATTTCGAAAATTTTTAAAAAATATCGAAATCTAAAAAATGTAATAGAAAGATAAAATCCGAGTCACATATGTAAAATTGAAATAGAAACAACTTTTTCAAGTAAACTTTTTCGATATTCGAACAAATAAGCCTACTTTCAGCGATTAGTTTGAAAAAATGTCACTTTTTACATGTAGCGAATGTCACGTGACCCCGATTGAGTAGGCCATTTTTCATCTTTTTTGAAGCAAAACTTGACGCCCAACTCGAATTTCAAAATAAATCATTAATAAAAGTGTTTCCCATATGATGCTGACTTTATGAATGACACTGTATATAAATAAATACAAGAAGCTCAAAGTCATCAACATAAACATTGTGTGGATATGACTTTGAGCTTCTTGTATTCAACATTTCATTCCACTTTGAGCATTGTGGCTAGTTCGTCGATGGATTATATACCGGGTGTCAACGAATTTATTAGACAAGTCATAACTTCTAGACCATTAGGTGTATCAAAATGAGATTTGGTATAGGTAAATGGTATGTGAAGAGGAGAGTTTTCACATATTTTTCACTTCCCGGTCACTTCCGGTTTCACCGGAAATAACTCCGGTTCTAAATTTTTAAATGAAACACCCTGTATATTGTAACATTTTTGGATTTCTGGGACTATTCTAGATCAGAATGTGACATTTTCGAGAGTTTTCATGCCTACTTGATTTTTTCGAAGTCACTTTTGAAATTACATCTAGGTGGCCATGATCGGAAGTAAACTAATCTAAGGTCCTCAGGTGATATCAGAAAATTACAATCGCGAAGTTTTAGTGACAAGTATGATAGATATTAATGAGACAAGTTGGCAAAATTACATTTTCGTGTCTAACTATTATTGTTCAAATGGCGACAAGCACTTTCCGAAAAAAGGATATTTTGACGAATCTAACGATACTAATTTATTTGCGATTGGATTACAAATAGGAACCTAAATTAAATATTACTGACGAAAATACTTCATAATAATTTGTGAAAACTCTCCTCTTCACATACCATTTACCTATACCAAATCTCATTTTGATACACCTAATGGTCTAGAAGTTATGACTTGTCTAATATATTCGTTGACACCCGGTATATTATATTTATGAAGTAATAAGTTTATTACAGACTTTCAAAACTGTGTTTCACATAAACAAGTTGATCTAACCTCAAATTCATATGAGAATGGAGAGAAACATTTGATGATAGATAAGGATAGATTGACAAAACGCATCAATTCGACTCCTCTTGAGCTATCGAAGAATCGGGTCGAGTTCACACGATTCATTCGAGTAACAGAATACCAAAGATCGAATAAAGATGGCCGATTCGACTCGATTCGTGAAATAGAATCTCCCTGCAGAACCTACATAAACTTATTGATTAACAGCTTTAAGAATTAATATCACTTATAATCACAAAAAAAAACAAGAAGCAGAAATAACGAGTGTGCCAATCGGCATCGAACTGATAATTTCTCAAGTAGTCTTGAAGAATTGCCTGAAATTCTTCTTGAAGGGCGAATCGTAGCTCTTGCAGAGACTCTGACGAGGCTGGACGAAGGCGAATGAGGTTCTGAATAATTGTTAATGAAAATAAAATATTCCATACTTTCTTGAAACACTTGTATCTTCTCTCAAAAATGAGATATAGACGTGAATCTAGAACCGCTGTGCTAAGAAGGGACGAAAGAAGATCACACTTCAATTTAAAACATGATGAAGCAGAAGGTTGGAGAATGGTTCTGAATTATTGTTAATAAAAATTTTTTAAATCCATACTCTCTTAAAACACTTGTACCCTTCCTTAAAAAGTGCTTATTGAATCAAAAACCATTGTGTAAAGAAGGGATCACACTACAATCCAAAACTTAATGAAGCTAAGTTTAACCACTCACATTTCCCACAGGGCGTTAAGAAGTTAAGGATGAAAGTGTAACTTTTGTTGTTCCCTGTATAATGATCAAGCCATCAGCTGTTCTTAGGAACCTATATTCAAGCTAACATTCCAAAACACGGATATACGAGTTGGTCTAAATTTCTCCAAAATCGGACAAAATTTTAAAAAGTTGCAGGACGAACAATTTGACCAAGTTTTTTGGTGGTCGGTTTTTTTCGCCGACGAGTGTATATACAAGAAAGGAAAAGCAACAAAACTCGCCGTACGCCTTAATCGTCCGACCATCATTTCGCCATCTGGGCCATTTTGCCGTTTTTCGTCTCCTTCTTCTTCTCGTGCTGAACGGGCGTGGGCGATATGCAGATGACGTCATTGTCTTGGCTGTCGACGTTTTCGCTTCTGGAATCCGCCATTGCAACGTCTTCCGGCAACGGCCCGTTGTCCATCTCCCACTCCTTGAGGATGGTGTCCAGGTTGTATCTGAGAGAAAACGACTGTCACTGCCGAGGATTACCACAAGGATCGGTCTTGGGGGTCCTACTTTATTTCAAGTTCTGAATTGCACGAGAGAGAGAGTCCCTATTATGTGTGTGGAACGGAGGATAGGGAGAGAAGGTAGGTATTGGAATTCTAGGGAATAATTCCCTAGGCAATGAATGGGGAAGTTTCCTCCAGATGAATTCTCATAAGATCGGAACTCTTCAGTTTTATGTCCACACTGTACCTACGGAATGGCGCAAAAGTCCAAGTCGTTTTTATTTTCAAAATATAGCAATTTATTATTCTCGGAGCAGCAAACTGTGACGTAGATTCTGAATCTAGTCTGAATATAGCTGATGATGAATAATATAGCTACCGAACAGGTAACAAATAAAAAACGAATAAAAAAATAGAAGAAGACAACTAGGCGTCGTTGTTGATTACCATTCGCGAAAATCACGAAGTGTGCGGCCTCTGGTGGCTAACTGTAGAAGTCTTGCGAGTATGAACAACAATGACAACAAATATGGCGACCATTGTTTTGAGTTTCATAATTATGTGTTCAATTCGAAAATAATTTATTTGTGGAAGTGCATATTCCAGAACCTCATTTTTCCCTGATAAAAAAACTCGAATTATTGCATGAACTTTTATTTTTTTCAATGAAGAAACCAGTACCTACCTTATAATAATATAATATACATTTTCTGAAGCACAATTAGAATCATTGTATAAATGTTGGTTGCAATGATTCTATCTTGAGAATAACTTCAAGTCCTCAATTGATGGAGATCCTTGTTTATGTAAATCGATGATATTGTTCATTCTGAGCAGCCTCTTCAACCATATCTTCTTTTCCAACCCCTTCACTAGAATTCCATCTCCTTCATAAAAGCCAGTGATATTTCTTGATGAATTCAATTATTTCTTCATACCTATACCATATTGTTGTAATAGCTGATTGCTTATATGGTTCCATTCCAGTCCATGCAAGTGTTGAGTGGACCATTCCGACCATTCCATATGTTTGAAAACTGATGTGGAATTGTAGTGTGATATCAATGATGAATACCACCATTGTCCACATCAAAATGGCAATTTCTCTGCACAAAAAGTAATTCTTTCCATACTGGAAACCTTGTACGTATTTCAAGAAGTCAAGTTATTATTCACTATTTTGCAAAATGATTTCGAAATAACCAATTTGCAATGAGTGCATACGGCAATGTTTTTGTTGTTCATACTCAGTTTGGAATTTGACGTTGATTTGACGTTTAATAGAGCCATCTATTGGTTCGTGATTTTCGCGAATAGCTGTGTGGAAACAAAGAAATCCCAGTCTATATCATAAATAAAAACACTAACATACCCATGTGTCACCTTGGAAGACATATCACAAATATCGGAATACAACAGTATCAAAATAACATACCTTTATTCAAATAATTAGACACACATAGTTCAAGGGTAGCTGAAAACACAAGACTATTCGAACAACACAATATCTATTTTAGCATGAGATATCATGGGTAGTGAGGAAATATAAATGAACAACAATGAATATAAAGACCTAATAACAATGTTATGTTGATTATCATTACGACGAGTCGAGAGTAGCCCCAGACCAGATAACTTTGGAACCCTCACATCCAGTTTATTATCAGAGTTTCTCATGAGAGTTTCTCAATCATTTTTTAAAGTTAGAATGTGATTCGAAATTACTGATTTAGTGATTCATTGAAATGCCATTTTCAACTCGTGACACTATACTGACGCTATTGAAAGTATTGACATTTCAGTATTGACGTACCGCAGATGCACCAACATGATTTTAAACGAGTCAGATGTGGAGTTCAAAAAAAGGAATATTTCTTTTGAATAACTTTCGTTAGAAAGCTGAGTAGACTTCTACAATCAGATTTCACCAAATGAAGCTACTTGAGTAATCAAACTTCCATAATATTGCTTCTACATTGGTAAAGGTTTTTAGGTTGGCAATTTGGAATGAAGTCCCCTATACTGGCCATATTGGCATAGTGCCTGCCATCTTTGAATTTCTGATTTTCAAGACGAAGTTGTTGAGAATGCAGGACAATCAATTAAAAATTGGGACAAATGGAATTTCAATGAAAATGTTGGAAAGTTCAACGAAGAGACCGAGTGTTTACCGTTTTATGATGCTCAATGAACTTAGGAAAAACAGATTATATTTCATTAAACATGAAAACTATATAATTCAAATTATTTATTATCTATCATTCAACTGTTTGCTATGTCAACAGTTGATATGAACTATTCCACATCCAATGTTGGACAGGGTCTTAGGTACTGGCAACGTACCGGTATTAAAAACATTGATAGTTCTTTGGGTAATAAAAGGGTATAGTCCAACAAATAGATATGACACATAAAAAATACAACATAATTAACGAGCTGATTTTCATGTCAGGCGGGTCTCTTTCACGTTGAGCCGAAAAGCATCAGGTGCTCATTCATCTTTTCATGTGTAGGGGAGATAGGGAAAAATTACTTTGAAAATTTCGATAATCAGTGCTGCTTTCTCAAAGAAAAATCGTCCAGAAAGTGAAGTGCGGCTCCGAAAGAAAAGTACATAGCAAGTTCCGTTGAATAAAACTGAGGTGTATTTCTACACTCTGTGCAAAAAATGAGAGCCAAACAACATCGGATGACTTTTTGACCCACCTGTTATATCTGTCCTTCTTATACTTACCTACAGATAAATATTCACTCATAGCTGAAAAACTTCATCAGACGATGTTGATGATGTTACTTTGATAGGACAAAAAATTCAGGACATTTAGGCTACGTTCAGTGGCAGGTCGGACCATGGTCAATTCGTCCCAATTCGTTCAGACCGTAGTCAGACTATGGATCAGACCGTGGTTCACGTAGTCTCATTTAAAATGAGGCCAAGCATGGTCTGAATCGTTCAGTCCATTGTTTCCGTCAGAAAACGTCAGTTATATTTGACATGAATTCATGACATGCAAATGCATTTTGAATATTAACGAATCTCTTCGCGGGTGAGATAACATGATGGCCAACAAGTTCAAGAGACATTACCGCAGTGTAGACAGTATAAAGATACAAAATGTATACAAACAGGTTTTCAACCAGATGCAGAATCATACAAAATGTGACAGAACATATAAAAAAATGGGGCTAGCCCGTTCCCAAATGTACCTTTATCTGTAGCAAATAGTTCTTAGAAACAGATTATAAAGGTACCTAATTCCTTTTAATCTATTCAGTGTTTTAAATGATGTTCTTTTCTTTCAATACCTTCACAGACTTCACCGATTATACATTGCAACAAAATGTAAAACCTGTGATTAATGGATCGATCTGAATGAAAATACCAGTGGTCATTTTGGTAAAAATCATAAATATGTCTTCAATCATTCTCCAATCTATATCAACTATAACTTATCCTCAGTAACAGGAATGAATCTGATAATGACAAAAATGCTGAAAGGATATAGGTGGACCTCCCTCACCAGTTTTCATGAAACTTTCACCAGGACTGGTCATTGTTGTTGTGAACATGCCAATGAATTTTCCATGTGAAAGACAATCCAGTGCGATTTCAGTAGCAAATGAATTTTCATACTTTTTCAGTAATAATGAATAATACAACTACAACACCGAATTTTGTTTTATTTCAACATAATCTAGGATATGATTAACACTATGAATAATTTGAAACTTCATTCCATTCATTCTTAATAGGCATCAAACATTTTTCAAATTCTTCATCGAAATCAATGCTGTTGTGAAAAGGAGTCTGTTGCAGAGGAAAACAATATACACCATGAATAAATTAGGTACTCTGTGATTATTTCTTATATTTGGAGTTCAAAAGCGGATGATAATCCCAACATAATGGTCCTTCGAGCCGGACTCCAAATATAAGAAATAATCACTCTGTTCTTCAGATTCTTGATATTAATGAAATCTCCTAAAATGTTGTTCTTCCTATAAGATAATGGGATACCTGGAAAACAAAAAACATCAATTATTATTGAAAGTTAGAAATGATATCACTCACAATTTACCAAGTGTTCAATTTTTTTTTCATCAACAGCATTATTAGTTTTGTAGGAGAATACAACGATTTCTTCAATCCTTGTCTTCATTGGTGAAAGCTATAGTTGTAGGCTCTATTTCATCCATTGCCAGCTTTACAAGAACAAACACAATCATGTCCAATCATTCACTGGAAGGCAACAATTTCAGAGCAGCAGAAGTTTGTAGAACCTGCCCAATAATCTCAAGTTTCTGTTCCTGTACACTTCTCACTTGACACAAATAACATTTCCAGGATGGTATACCTGTTCACCATTCACCATCGGCCGATATCTACTATCAATATATTTGAGAATGTCCACCGAATTGATTTCAATAAGCACCATCGTTCAAAAATCACTCTAACCACTTGAATTTCGAAATCAAAATAAAATTATCATATTAAATGGGGGTTATCATGACACCTTTGACAGATATACTACTACTATATACATATACAAATACTTGGACCGATGTCGTTCAGAACACCAATGCTTGTTGTGGTCCGCCTACGGTGGTCCAGACCTGCCACTGAACGTAACCTTAGCGTCCTGCAAGTAATCTCGACAGGACGCAGGACAAAGTACCTCAAATTCAGGACATCCTGCGAAATGCAGGACGGGTGGCAGGCAACCCCATACTCACCGTTTCCTGTAGTTGACGAAAAACGTGCGCACGTGGTGTTCCGTCTTGTTGCCGATCGCGTCGGCGATGCTTTTGAAGTCCTTGCCGTACTTCCTGACCCCCTGCACGGCTATGAGCAGCTCCTCGTTGCTCCAGCGCGCGTTGAAGCGCCCCGGCTGCCCCTCGCCGGCCGCCCGCAGGTCCTCCACGCTGTCGGAATGTTTGCGCTTCAGCGAGCTGATGTTCTGCTTGTTCTGCTGGATCTGCAACAACGGAGGGGTTACGCTGAAATTCGTACACCGGAGAGGTTCCACCGAAGGCTGGCCAATGAAATTAACGCGCACTTTGTGTTTGTGTTTCAAACTATTCGTTCTTACATTAATGGCTTCCATTTTGTCGGCCGGAGTTAGAATGCGAAGCAATGGAATGTGCCAACCATGGGCATACGGGCGTACCACTAATTGCTGCTTTGGCTTGAATACTTTATATTTGGTGATTGTGAAAACTTATGGCAGCGTTTTCTCAACTATAACTCTAAAAATCTCACGGACGATATTCTGGATACATTCAAGAAAAAGCTAAGCTAAGTTTGCTTGACTCTGAGAGGCTTGCAAGTTCTTCCTACCCGCTCATTTACAATTCCTTAACAGTTTCCGAACCCTCAAAATCCTACTTAAGCATTCCCTCACAAATTTATATATCACGCATTATTGCTCAAATCAGAACTTCTGCCAAAAAGTCGTTGATGTTCTTGTTTCATGGTTCCTTTTATCAAATTGACACTACAGAGATATGTTCAAGATACAACTGTCAAGTAACCGAGTTTTTGCAACATATCCTGTTTGAATGTCCTATCTACTCAGGCATAAGGCAAAATGTGATTCTGTCTGAAATCGGCGATATTGATGGTCTAATACGTCTACTCAGTACTCACAATATCTTAAACTTAGCAGACCTTGTGATGTCCCTGATGAATATTATGAAATTACGATCGTGGCAATTATGAACGAATGATTGTTGCAGATGTGGCTATTAGGTATTCTTAGGAACTTGTATAGCTCTGTAATGTGTAATGTACCAACATTATTTACTATATACTTATGATCCATGTGGAATCATGCTCGCATGTAACCCGAGCCGTTGTGATAAAAATGTTTTTTTTAAGACAATAAACTATCTTTTTCAATACAAATTGTCACTGACAAGCTAGAAAATTTTCTTTTAGGCTCTCTGATAGGAAAATTCTTTAAACGCAGTGACATTTCGGGACAAATCATCTGATTTGTCCTAACTACACATATATTGAAATAGTATTTCCCTAACCTCAACCTCTTTCTTTTATAATATGGACCAGGAAGCTCAATGACAATTTCGAATGAAATCAAGTTCGCCTTAGGAGTTTATAAGTCAGAAAAATATTAACAAAATCGGACTCAAGATTTAGGGAAAAATCGGATATGTTTTCGGGTGATACGTTAATTTTATTGGCCAGTGTATAAGGGAAAGAAAAAAATTATAGGGATGTTTCGGGCAAAAATTTCAACTTATATTATTCGACTGTAGAGAAAAAGAGTGTTTCGAAAACTTACTATTTATGAATAAAACTCGGCAATCGGAAAACCCAGCTCAGAATTACTTCTCCATTCCTTGTAATAATATTGATTTGTTTCTTCTATTCCAAATATAAATCCCCAGGTATAATTTTCAAAGGAAAAATTATGACGTACATCCATCAAATAAATATTGATTGTTGATAAATTTTTTAGAAGTCTAACATGATCATTCTCGAAATATCTGATCGGAATTCAGATTTGAATTTTGAATGGTCATTTGATATCAGTTTCTCATTTCAAGATATCCTATGAGTTTATAATGGAACCAGTATAAAAAGCATTGAATCAATTGAAGCAGTAATAACAATAATTTTCAAATTATTTATAAATAATTCCATATAACTTAACTGAAATTCTTAGTCATTCTTGACAAAGATAGTAACAAGAAACCATTATGATGCACAATTTAACGAAACTGCAACTAAAAATGTAATCATTTTCATTAAAATCAAAATAATTACAACTTTTACCATAAATGAAATATGTACTTCGAAATGAAGAGACACATGCATACAAATTCTAACTAGAACATGTAAAAAAAAGCAAGCAGTTAGTGTGCACAAGCCAGCAAAAAGCAAAAGCAATTAGAGTAAGAAATCCAAGAAATTATTCAACTCATATTACTGAGACACTAATCAGTTAAATCACAAATAAAGTAATCTTTCTTCAACAGTGATTAATTGAATCAATTTTTTTACGTAAAAAACTCGAAGTACTCCCAGAAAAAAACATTTTCATTCTTATTGCTGCATGAAACTGAAAAAAATCTTGAATTTCTATGATCATTGGAAGGTGGATATGCAACACTCATCTCTCTGACTTTCTAAATACCCAAACACAATGCAAAAAAAAATTAAAATAACATCAAAGCCAATTAGTTTCAAACAATTTTCTTATAATTTCGCTTTGTGTTTGAAGCTTCCCTTTAGTGACCTTTTACACTTAGTGAGTCTTCGTTTAATATTCACAATCAATTGTGTAAAATTCCAAATCCTCTATCCTGAAGACACCCAAATGTACATTTCTAGGCGAATCAGACAAGAAAAAACAAAATCTTCCGCCATCTTGGGGCGCCATCTTGAATCTTTTCCCACCAAAAGCATCAAGTCAAACATTTATTGTCACGGAAGCCATATATGTATATCATTTGTCAAGCAAATCTGATTAGTAGAAGACTTAGGGGAGTTCACAAAGCAATGGAAACTCAAGATTTCTCATGACAGAGTAATGAAGTCCAATGAATTTGTGTATGGCTGCTCCAAGTGACGTTGCAATGACTACAAAGTCGTCCGCCATCTTAGGAGCGTCATTTTGAATCTTTTCCCACCAAAAGCATCAAGTCAAACATTTATTGTCACGGAAGCCATATATGTATATCATTTGTCAAGCAAATCTGATTAGTAGAAGACTTAGGGGAGTTCACAAAGCAATGGAAACTCAAGATTTCTCATGACAGAGTAATGAAGTCCAATGAATTTGTGTATGGCTGCCCCAAGTGACGTTGCAATGACTACAAAGTCGTCCGCCATCTTAGGAGCGTCATTTTGAATCTTTTCCCACCAAAAGCATCAAGTCAAACATTTATTGTCACGGAAGCTATATATGTATATTATTTGTCAAGCAAATCTGATTAGTAGAAGACTTAGGGGAGTTCACAAAGCAATGGAAACCCAAGATTTCTCATGACAGAGTGATGAAGTCCAATGATTTGTGTATGGCTGCCCCAAGTGACGTTGCAATGACTACAAAGTCGTCCGCCATCTTAGGAGCGTCATTTTGAGTCTTTTCCCACCAAAAGCATCAAGTCAAACATTTATTGTCACGGAAGCCATATCATTTGTCAAGCAAATCTGATTAGTAGAAGACTTAGGGGAGTTCACAAAGCAATGGAAACTCAAGACTTCTCATGACAGAGTAATGAAATCCAATGAATTTGTGTATGGCTGCCCCAAGTGACGTTGCAATGACTACAAAGTCGTCCGCCATCTTAGGAGCGTCATTTTGAATCTTTTGCCACCAAAAGCATCAAGTCAAACATTTATTGTCACGGAAGCCATATATGTATATCATTTGTCAAGTAAATCTGATTAGTAGACGACTTAGGGGAGTTCACAAAGCAATGGAAACTCAAGATTTCTCATGACAGAGTAATGAAGTCCAATGAATTTGTGTATGGCTGCCCCAAGTGACGTTGCAATGACTACAAAGTCGTCCGCCATCTTAGGAGCGTCATTTTGAATCTTTTCCCACCAAAAGCATCAAGTCAAACATTTATCGTCACGGAAGCCATATATGTATATCATTTGTCAAGCAAATCTGATTAGTAGAAGACTTAGGGGAGTTCACAATGCAGTGGAAACTCAAGACTTCTCATGACAGAGTAATGAAGTCCAATGAATTTGTGTATGGCTGCCCCAAGTGACGTTGCAATGACTACAAAGTCGTCCGCCATCTTAGGAGCGTCATTTTGAATCTTTTCCCACCAAAAGCATCAAGTCAAACATTTATTGTCACGGAAGCCATATATATGTATATCATTTGTCAAGCAAATCTGATTAGTAGAAGACTTAGGGGAGTTCACAATGCAGTGGAAACTCAAGACTTCTCATGACAGAGTAATGAAGTCCAATGAATTTGTGTATGGCTGCCCCAAGTGACGTTGCAAATACTATACAACCGCGTCTGAAATACGTACGATCTCACACGAAGTCTAAAAGGTCCCAGCGCCCCCTACTCACTTGTCTCTGCAGCGAGTCGAGCTCACGATCCATGGCCCTCAACACGGTGACGCCGGTATTTCCGGACGCCATCGCCGCTAGATCGTCGTGGTTGATGAACATGCCGCGGGGGGGCCGCCGCTTGTGCCGCGCCCCCAGGGGGCCCCCGCCGGCCCCTCCGTGCCGCTTACCGGGGCCCCCCGCCACCGGACCGGAAGTCGGGCGCAACAGCCCCGTACGTCTGGAGGATGGGTAGCGGTGACAACATTAACAATTTCGCCTACTCATTTCTTTTTTTTTAATTAATCATGACTCCTCCGCGAGTGACTCAGATATTTCATATTTGAATTTTTTTTATCGCTTGGAGCGCACGAAAGGGAATCCCTATAATGTTCAAAGAACATCGTGCGTTCCTGGGGAGGATAGGGACAGGAGGTAGGTATTGGAATTTTTTTTGAACTTTTGGAGATTATATGTTGTTGGGAATACTTCCACAGGCAATGAATTCCAGAGCCTAGCCGTTCTATGGATGAAAGAGTCTTGATAAAGTGCTGTTCGACATCTAAAATTCAATACAGCTTGCCTTCACTGATGTGTTATTAGTTGATATTCAACCCATGTTGATTTTTGCTAACTATCAAACTTCCAATTTTTGAAAATACTAATACGTAGTGTGTTTTACTTTACATTATATAAATCTTTTATGTTTTTTTCTCTTGATGGATTCTTTGTAAAACTAACAGCAAACAATTTTTTTTCCTTATGTTCTGGTTCCCACGGAAAGGGATATCCTGTAATGTTCAGAGAACATCGTGAGAACCAAGGGAAATAAGGCAGGAATTGGTGTTATTCTTGTGTGTGTTTGTGAGCGAGGCATCACCCACGAGACAAATTGCCCTTTTTTGGACAGAATCCAACAGTTTCAGGGTATGTTTGGGTGCTGCACTCCAAATATGGGAACTGTATTCCAGGACAGGTCGGATATGTGCCTTATAGATCATATGCAGCTGACTGGAAGTGAAATAGCCTCTGGCCCGAAACAGAAAACCAAGTTTTTGGATGCACTTTTAGCAATTGATCTAACGTGATTTTCCCAAGAAAGGTTATTGCTGATAGCATCGAAATGGATGTCCTCAAAGGTATGTTACTCCTGACAAGCTTATGTTGGGCACAGTGAGATCGGCTTTTCTGGAGAAAAGGCATGCTTGTGTTTTGTTCTTCCTCATCTAATCACATAAAGAAGAAGTTTCTTAATTTTTTTCGTAAATGAATAATGACTTTTACCGGATGTGACTCAGATTTTCAATATTTAAATATTTTCTTGATTGATCCTTCGCCCTGAAAAATTAAACACAAATTGCCTTCACTGATTTGTTTAATTAATCAATTAATATTCAACCGTTTGATCCCAAAAGGGGGGGGCTCAGATCTTCCATGTCAATGTTTGCTATTTCAATACCTCAGTTTTCTGAAAATACTAAGTGTTTCACTTTACGTTTTAAAAATCTTTTATATTTAGGTATGTTTTAACTGTTGTGTCTTCCATGTAGGTATTTTTGCACTCTTAGTTTCGTACTAGTTAATGAGGCAAATCAGATTTGTACGTTTATTTCTCTTGATAGAATTTTTGTAAAGCATTTACCAGTGAATAAAATTTCTTTCTTCCTCATGATGATAAAGTGTATTTCTTTTTAGAAACTTCATTATGTCTTTCACCTCTACTATCAATACTACTTAATAGTTTTCTGAAAATAGTTAGTGTGTTTTACTTCACATTTTATAAATCTTTTCCAAAGGGGGCACCATGTTTTTAAAGAATTATTGGTTTCAAGTTGGTATTTTTGCACTATTTTTTTCAGGCCAATCAGTTTTTGCCATGTATTTGGGTAAAGCGTTATGATAGCGAATAAAATGTATTTCCTTCTCTTTTAATCAATAGTAATTAAGCATTATTTTAACGTCATAATCATATGTAGATGTTTAAACTCATTAACCCTATCATTGGACATCAGTGGTTCTGCTGCTTGAAAAATTCATTATTAGTAGTATATCGCATCTGATTAATCGATTCATTTTACTTCATTTCACCAAGAGGTCACTTGTACCTTGTGTATGTTTATTCAACTAGAATAGAATATCTGTGAATTAAAGATCTAGTCATCGTCTCAAGGTATTTTAAAATGTTTATCAGATAAAATTCAATATTCACCTGTTGATATTTTGATCTGTTTTTTTGTTGAATGTTACAATCATTATAATTTGAATTAAAATAATTAACGTCTACTCAGGTATAGTTTTGAACACAGTGGAATTTTGTAAAAATACTAACTTCTCAGTTGGAAAACACACCCTACATTACTGTGAGAAAAAAATAAATATGATGAAGTTCTTAATTGAAATATCTTTCTTTTCAAGTTCTCTGATTTTTTTTCATCAATTTTGGGCACTTTTCGGGTACAAAATAGGGTTAGGGTACTGTATGAGATAATTTATTTTTCAATATATTATGTTCTCAACATAACACATCTTCTAACTATTATTTAAACGTCCAGCAATATTTCAATCCATTTATATTTACGGTGCTTCTGAACTAGCCAGGTTCGGCTGTTGACCACTAATAAATTATTTACAAAAACTCCACCCAAACTGTAAAATCCAATAACTTCCAAAATATTTCATTTCATATTATTTTTGTTTTCTATTACCCACTTCATTTACCTTCTAAATTTGGTAATCATGTATTTACTTTATATATAAACTTGAAAAAAAAAAAGGATATTTCAAATTAGAGCCTTCATCATACATATATATATAATGTTTTTTGAGAACCAATTTTGGACCATAAAGAGTGAAGAGAATGAAGAATTCAACCCACTTTTAGTATATTTCAAGTTTCTTGGAGAACATGAAGATGTGTTGGTTCTTGTAATCAAACTCACTCTGAATATCCCTAATGAACCCATATTTATTTCCAATGAAATGGACCATGCACCAGAACATGGGAAATTGGCTCTCAGTTGAATTGGCTGAAATTTACCTATGTTGTTGTGGAATGACTCATTGAAAAAATATGTGAGCTTAAAAAGTTCTGTATGCTTAGTTTCTGAGATGTAAGGCGACAAAGTTCGTAAAAACGTCATATCAGGGTAGTAGTGACAAATTAAAAATCTGTTTTTTCTGTGACGGGAAAAAAGTTTGGCATTTCATCTCTGTTGGCAGGTTATAAAATGTCACTTTTCATAAATTACTTTTTTCCCGGATATATATCACATATATATATATATACACTGTTGATGGCTTTTGTTGTGCTGTAGTTCCGAAAAATGAGTTAATAATGTCTCCGAGAAAGAACTGCAAGTCCTTTCATCTTCCATTCGACTTCGCGGTTAGGTATATTACTAAACAACCACTGAATTCACAAGTTTTTGAAATCAAATCACAGAATTAGACTGACAGAAGTGACATCAGATATTTGATTACTTCAAAAGAATGATAAAGATGCCTACAACGCAGGTGTTCCTACTGTTAAAAACTTGAAATTTCACGTCGATAATTTTCAGATTTCAAAATAATGTAATATCTTCTCAATATTGATTCGCCCTTTCTTCTATCACAGAAAAAAAATAGTGCATTATACACGGGAAAAATATTAGATTTTAGCTCACGGTTTTTGTCTCCATCCACTACGCGTCGGGAGACAACACAACCTGGAGCTAAATTCTACATCTTTTTTCCCTTGTATAATAACAATTTTTTAGTATAATCAAGACAAAGTAAGCAAGAAAATGCATTGAACGGAACTCATGAACATGTCTATACCTATTCAACTTCAATTTCGGAATCGGTGAGTTATATTTCGGAAAAAGTGTTTGAGAGCCCTATGTTGAATCAGATTGAACATATATGGGGTGCCTTCAAGTCAGAAGTGAAGAGCTTCTTGCAAGAGCATCGCCAAAGGGTCATAGCTGGGGATCCGAACAGATTGCTCAACCAGATAGAATTCAGACTGCGATGTCTTGAAGAATGTGCAGATCATTCAATGAAAATGATAACACCTCAAATGTGTTTGCATTCTTATAATCATGTGCAACGCCACTATCTTCCAGCGATTCAGATGGAAGGCATCTGTGGATTAAATTGTTTTTGAAAAGTTGAATATTTTAAATATGGTTTGTTAATCTCACATGCAATTGGAAACATTTCGAACAAATATAAGGATTTTTTTCATGATATTGAACCTACCAATTCTGAAATACAACTTACCATTTCTGAAATTGAATGGACTTTTTCTGAAATTCATCTCACCGATTCTGAAATTGAGTTTACCATTTCTGAAATCGAACTAACCAATTCTGAAATCGAGATTACATTTTCCGAAATATAACTTACCGATTCCGAAATTGAAGTTGAAAAGGTATAGACATGTTTATGAGTTTCCATCAATACATTCTCTAGCTTACTTTGTCTTATTTATACTAAACAAACACAGTTTTTATATTTGTCACTTACCCTGATAGGACGTTTTTACGAACTTTGTCGGCTTATATCTCAGAGAATAAGCATAGAAAACTTTTTAAACTCACATATTTTTCTAATGAGCCATCCCACAACTACATAGTGAAATTTCAGCCAATTCGACCAAGAGCCAATTTCCCATGTTCTCATGCAGGGTCCTTCACCAAAATTTTAGATGTAAACTCGGAGAAAAAAAAGTTGGACCCTGTTCATTTTCAGTTTCCCAACTGAGAGGTTAGAGGGGGAAGTGTCAGGATTGTGGCGAAAGATGGAGAGACAGGTCGTGGGTACGTACCTCCAGTGCTGGTAGCAGGAATTACAGAGGGCCCCCTTGGCGGTCACCTGAGTGACAGAACAGACGACTCCGCAGTTAGAGCACGCTCCACCCTCACCCTGCACACACATACACAACAGTCATACACCGAGAGACCCACAGAGACCACTCTACTGATATACAGGATGTCAGATGGCTTGATGTATCAATAACCCACCATATACCAATACCAGGTATAACAGACTCATGGTATACCCCCTTTTCTCCTTTATAAATGGAATAACTACTAGTAATTTGAATGAATATACAAATTGTATGGAGAAATTTGACTAAAATATTTACGTGTATAATGCATTTTCCGTAAGTAAAATATATATTTTTAGGTTTGGAAAATTGTACGATGTTAGGTATTTTGTATTACAATCGCATCGATGACATTTAAATATTTAATGGAAGACAGGAAGCTGCTTGATATTATATTATTACATAATATTTGCAATATAATACCATAATACCATACTGAAAAAACATTACAAATGTTGAAAAATAGAAAGCTTGGCATTTAATTTGTTTGTTTCACAAGTTTCAATATCTCGATTCGCAAATTTGAAACTGTAGTAAATACGAACTCTAGTATATAAAGATTTGAAATAATCCAATGGAAAATATTTACAGGGATGATTGAAAGTTATGTCTGAAAAATATGATTTTAGGTTATTTCCAACAATTTCCAGACAAGCGAATTCAGTGATTTGTTTGAATGGTACTAACAATTCAACCGATGCAGTTTTGCTATAATTTTTCAACTGGCAAAATGTGGTTTCTTCTGCATCTAACGTGTTGGAATTGCTGAAACATTTACAAATTTCGCAAAAATGTTGTTTTCTTCAAAAAATATCCGGTAACATATACCAGAGCATAACCTTCTGGGGTCTTGAGATTTCTATAATCAATTGCCAATACTTTAATCGATGTATATGTAGGCCTACTACCTGCTGATGTTCGATAACATTGTTCAAGAAAATCGGGAGTCATATTCAGTAAAACTTTATCGATATCTTCCATACAATTTGCACCCTCTGCTGGATCAAAATACAGCAAAGCAAACATTTTTTTTTGAAAGCGCGCCAAAATTGTATGGGTGTTCTTTCTTATTTGGCCAAAAAAGTTTTCTAGGCTATCTTGAGTCAAATTCCTAGTGAACATGTATTATCCCTTGGCCTGCAAGCTCAACACTTTCCCAATCCCAATCCACCTAGTACATATAGAAGGCAACCGTTCTCATCGAAAGCGAGAGCCACTATGTACACGCTAGAGAACCGTATGAGCCCTAAGGTACCCCTAGGGGGTAGGCGAATCGGCACATTTAGCGGACTGCCGGAACTTATATTTTTAATTCTGTAAACTTTGCTAGAGGGCACTTTTTCACATTTAAAAAAAAAATTCATCTTCCGGTTTTCCTGAAAATGCCATCAACTTTCGATTTTCAAATGGAATACCCTGTATTTTATTCTATAATCGGTTAGGAATACCTTTGTAATCTTTTGAAATAACTCAATCAAACCCGGTATTGTTGAATTGGTTATAATGATCTCTAACCGATTATGGAATAAAATACAAGGTTTCATTTGAAAAACGAAAGTTGATGTCACTTCCAGGAAAGTCGGAAGATGAAAAAAAGTTCCTATTATATGGGAAAGTGCCCTCTAGTGAGCGTATTCGATGTTCCGAATTTCAGAAATATAGCTAGAAAAACAAAGGAGAAAAAAGGGGTATACCATGGGTCAGTGCACCCGGTATTGATTCCCCAATGAATTTCACAAGAAAAAATTAGAACACAGTGAGATCACACATTTGATACACTCACCGGCAAATAAAAACGGCCAAGAAAAAAATTTGCCAAATTGATCTACATGTAACTTGTTTAAATCTTGTCCGATTATGGTGGAATTGGATTCATGTTCAGGAATGTTTGCATGAATTTTAGTTCCCAAGAAAACCTGATGGCTTGATCATTATACAGGGAAAACCTCTCTTTCATCCTTGACTCAGGGGCAGTTTTAGACTTCGACTGAGAGGTGGGGGCGAAAAGAAGCATTGTAGACTCGCGCAGTATACAGGGTTTTCAAAATTAAGTCTGCACTATTGCTAACTTGGTTATTATTTGAGCTACAAAGTTGGATAAATGGACAAACTAGTAGTATTTTTCCGCTGATTACAATGATTAAATTGAAAAGAAAGTTAAATTTTTTCAAATGGGACAATATTACAATATTCTCAATCGATATGATATTCGATTCTGAACATGAACAGTCCTATAAACTGTTACCCTAAATTCAAAAATTACTGAGCTTCAATGATTTTTTTTTTGCTTTAAAAATCATCAATAGATCAAAAAATATGGGAGGCGACAATGGAATTGCTAGATTAGATGAAAAACTATACCTATTTTGAAATGAAAAGGTGAAACATTTACAGAATGAAGTCAATATTTCTTTAATTGATTTGATTAATATGTAAACCTATAATAAAATTAATAAGGCAATGTGTTCAAAAAACCGCCCCTGCCCTAACTTCTCAACGCCCAGTGGCAATAGTGTTTTTACTTAGCATAATTATGTTTTGGATTGAAGTGTGATTCTCAACACAATGATTTCTTATTCACGTCAATATCTCTTCTTCAAGACAAGGTACCAGTGTTTAAAGAAAGTATGAATTTTTAAATTTTTTTTTTAAATAATCCAGAACCGAATTAACTCCAGAGAACTTGGCAGCAAACTGCCTCTGAGGCTGGAAGAGCAAGGATTCTGTCTCGAAGAGCAAGGATTCTGCCTCGAAGAGCAACGATTCGGTCTCGAAGAGCAAGGATTCTGCCTCGAAGAGCAAGGATTCTGCCTCGAAGAGCAACGATTCGGTCTCGAAGAGCAACGATTCGGTCTCGAAGGACTACGATTCGGCCTCGAAGAGCAACGATTCGGCCTCGAAGAGCAACGATTCGGCCTCGAAGAGCAACGATTCGGCCTCGAAGAGCAACGATTCTGTCTCGAAGAGCTACAATTCGGCCTCGAAGAGCTACGATTCGGCCTCGAAGAGCAACGATTCGGCCTCGAAGAGCAACGATTCGGCCTCGAAGAGCAACGATTCGGCCTCGAAGAGCAACGATTCGGCCTCGAAGAGCAACGATTCTGCCTCGAAGAGCTACGATTCGGCCTCGGAAAACTACGATTCCCCGGAAAAGAAGAATTCAAGGCAGTCAGAACCCCCTTGACAAATTTGCCACGGTGGTTGAATGCTCCAGGAAGGTAAATGATTTGGTCAAAATTCCACCAAAATTGAACAAGAATTAAAAAATTACAGGGCGATCAATTCGGCTAATTTTTTAGCTGGTGAATGTATATTAAGTTTGGACAAATTGCATTTGACTCAACTTTCAACTAATATGAAAGCTCCAAATACACCAAAAAAACATTCCACATTGTTTAGTTGATTATCATCTTTCTCAAATATTTACTATTCCTCAGAAAATATTGTTCATACTCATCTAAACTCATCTAATTTTATATTTTGGTGAATAATGTTTTTCCCCGTTTCTTATCTTGTTTTTAAATATTCCTTGAGTTTTTTTGAAGAAATGTTCTTTAATATGAGTTTTTGATACAGACATCCTGTATGAAAGTAGGTTGTATCAAAACAAAATGATATAGGTGCCCAGATCTTTACTGAGATGATATATACAGGTGATGTGCAGAATCAGGTATGGAGAGGATAGCACAGGATAGCATGCAATGTCTTCCATTTTTTCTTACACTTTAGGCATTGTATGCCACACAAAAAATGTCGTCTGATTTACATAATTTCCTCAAATTTCTGACAACACTTCATTGTGTTTATTCTGAAATAAAGTACCTAGCTGGTTATTTAAGGAAAATAATACCATTAAAGAAACATACAATCATAAAATTTTAGCAAAAACTACCAGAAGGGCAAGGAACATGTTAGAAAAAATGAATTGTTGGTTGGTGAAAAATGAATACAGTTTCTGAGCCATTTGAAGCATTTTCTAAACATTATTAAAACATTTGAATAAGCAAATTACTCAAAATTTTTTCAATGATGGAAGGAATGAAGTACTTCTTCATAATATTATAATGTGAATGATTGGTTGTCAGACAAATTTTGAAAACTTGGTAGTGTCTGAATTTTGAGTAAAAGTGATACGTGCAATACAATATCAATTCATTCAGTCTACCTGACGGGCACTGCTGGCCGATTGATCTCTAGTGGTTGAAGGGCCATTATTTCGTTGTATACCACGGTGGAATGTCCACTTCTGCAATACCAAATTTTGTAAACCACAAATTCCAAATTTCAAACACCCATTTGCCCCATACTTGTTTGCCTTTCTCTCACAAAATCATTACTCAATCTTAAATCCATACACCAATTTAACAAAAATCACAAAGTATGCACCAAACTCAAAGCTATATTAAATATACATGCCAAACATCAACATCAAAATTTCCATGCACCTCTAGAAACCTTTTTAATATTCCTCACTAGATTTTTACCTTGTCTTCATGGTCAGATTCCTCATTTGATCCATTTTCAGAACCTCCTTCAGAAGGGGCTCCATCTTCCTTAGGGGCATTCAGTTTCCTTGCCTGCTTGTCCATTAAGCTGGTACGAGATCTTGTTTTTTTCCAGCTGTAATAGTATTTCACAAGGCTAGCTATGCTTTTATCCGGCAACTAAAAACATTGTTTGTTAAATAAACTGTTTTGGTGCATACAAAAAAAAAATTACCATCTGACGTATTCTGTGGAAACTCTTGCCATGAAACTGGAAAGCCTGCTCAAAAAGAACTTTATCTTCTACAGACCATTCATCTGGAAAGGGTGTGAAATTTGCCAGGTCCAGCATTGCCCTTTCCAAGTCATGTTTATGCCAAAACAACATACCCAATGCTTGCTCCCCATTATATCCATATTTATCCTTTGCAAGTACTATATAATCCTCCACTAGGAAAAATGTTAAATTTGAGTAGTGTCTTTCATGATCCAAAAACTACTCACATTTTGTTTCTGCAATAGTTTCAGTAGGAGACCACACTAGGAGAGCCCTATCAGCAAGTAACTCTGGTTTCCTTTGATTTTCTGGCTGTAGTTCCGGGCAAACGGCTTGATAGTCCCGCCCTACCCTAATCTTGTCTACAGGTACTGAAAGATTATTTGACTCAACATACGCATGGCCCCCATTTTGGAAAATTTCAAACTACGTCACATATCTAACAATAAATATAAGGGCATTGAATTGATTGAAAATACCTTGGTATTTTGAAAATTTTGGATGTTTTCGGGATTTTGAAAGTGTGAATGCTTACCACTACTTTCGTCCTCGCTGGTAGAATCTGCTTGTACGTGACCATTTGGACTCGGCCCCCTGCTCCTACGCCCATTCCTGGCGTTTTCGTTGTTTTTCTCAGCTAGCACCATTTTCGCCAGCGTTAATACTTACACATAAATTAAAGAAAAAAATTTCAGGAGAAACCAAGCTCAATGATTCACTCACAACTTTGCTTCAGCAAACTTTGTAACACAGAACCCCGTAGGAACTAATTTTTAGTCATCGAGAAACCGTAGTTTTCTCATAAGTTCGCGGGCTTTCCGCAAGTGGCACCACTTGTGCATTTGCAAGCTGCAAAGCTGCAACTACGAAGCCGAAGCTTTTTCTCTTCCGCTTTGCTCCCCTCGCCCCACACCGCAAAACATAGCTGAGTCAGAGATTAGTCAACCACAGAACTAATCTCTGGCTGAGTTGTCAATGATGTCAAGAACAAGAGGGCTTTACAATTTGGGTACTTCTAACTTCTGGTAGTTCTGGTTAGTGGTTAGTTGATTTTGTGCCTGACTACCTGAATAGATGTGTACTTCATTTGCAATATCCTGCAACAAAATGTTCCGTTGATAGTTGAGGTCCACCTTTGTTGAGGTCTATAATAATATGACAGTTTTGACATCGACTTTGTTGACAAATATTTAGGTTAGGATTGTTAGGAAATATTTCAATTTCAAGGAAGGCAATTTTCAATCCTAGTTTTTCAGAATTCAGAATGTCGTTTTTCAATATAATTTGTAAAAGGTGCATTTCGACATCTGTTGTACATAATGGGAAAAAGAATTTTCGAAAATTTCCTATTTATAATAAACGTGGATCAAAAATATTTAAGAAACAGCAAACAGAAAATCCAGATCCAGAAGTTCCTATTCATAGTAGTTATCAGGATATTGTATATTTTTCTTGTATTTATGAAGTTACATTCCAGAAAGAGGAGTCAAGGATGTAGGCTACAAACTAGGAGACAGATTCATTACAATTCCTGAAAAAATACCAGAGTTGATCATGCCTGATCTAACTGATTTCAAAGTGAGCAATACACACTATACACCTGAAATTGATGGATAGAGGGTTTATTTTAGACTTTTCCAATAGATTCTCAATTGGAATCAACAAATATTGATTTATTTTTTAGTTGAAGCCCTATGTATCCTATAAAGCCCCTGATGTTGTGCAGACAGAATTTACTGCAGAGGATTTATTCAGTGTAGTGTATGCATCAAAAATTATTAAGGATTTCAAAGAAGGAAAGCTGGATGAGAATGGTCATTCACTAGAGCCTTCAGAGGAGGAAAAAATGACAGCAGAAGAGGCCAGAAATAAAGCTAAACAAACAGGATCAGATATATTCTAATTTTATTTGAATTTAAACTTTCAGAAATAAATGTGTAACAATATATTCACAAGTATTTTCATTGAAATTGTCATTATGTTCCTTCCTATTTACAATTTTCTTTTTTACTTCTCATTTGAGGAGGCAGAACTTTTCTTATGATTCTTCAGAATGTTGGCAATAAAAAACTCCCCAGCTTTATAGGAACTCCTAACTAGTGGTCCACTAGCTACATAAAGGAACCCCATTTCATTCCCAATATTTTCCCAGTGTAAAAAGCGCTCTGGAGTGACATATTCAACCACCTTCAGGTGTCTCTTGGTTGGCTGCATGTACTGTCCAAATGTGACACAATCTACCCCATTTTCTCTCAGATCTTTCATGGTCTGTTCAATTTCCTGATCTGTTTCCCCAAGGCCCAGCATAACAGAAGATTTTGTGATGAGATCAGGATTTATTTTTTTTACTTCTGCCAGAGTTGCAAGGGATTGCCTACAATATAATCAGAAAATGGTTATCATTTTGTATTATGTACAGTGATATCTGAATCTACCTATATTGTGCCCTTCTGTCTCTAACAAAAGGTGTGAGAGATTCCACAGTTTCAATGTTATGTGCATAAACATCCAAACCACTTTCAGCTATTGTCTTAACTTGTTCCAAATCTCCTCTGAAATCTGGAACCAAACATTCTACCAGAATATTGGGATTCCTTAAAAGAATAAAAAAAAAGAATAACCAAGCTAGATGTTTATATCAGATAACTTACTGCCTCTTAATTTCCCTAACAGTTTCAGCAAAGTGATTGGATCCACCATCAGACAAATCTGAAAAGTTGTTCTGCTATTGATTCATATTAAAATTACCCCACAACTAAATATGCCATACCATCTCTATCTACAGATGTGAGTACAATATAATCTAATCCCCATGAAGCAATAGCAGTTGCTGTATTCACTGGTTCATTTGGATCAGGAGGTGGAGGAGTCCTAGAAGTTTTCACAGAACAAAACCTGCATCCTCTTGTACATGTATCACCCAACAACTGAAATATTTGTATGTAATTCTCTGAATTGTTTCAGTCAGTTTAGGTAGGTACCATAATAGTAGCAGTAGCAGTTCCATGTTCACCTCCACCCCAACACTCACCAATGTTGGGACACCGTGCCTCCTCACAAACAGTATGCAAATTAAGGTCCCTGAGCTGTTCTTTGATCCTACTGAAGTTTTTTCCAGTAGGTATTGTTCTTTTGAGCCAAGGGGGAAGTCTTAGTCTTTGGTCTTCTCCCTTTTCTCGTTTCAGCTTTCCATCATACTGTTTCCAAGCTTCTGGTGTGTGTTTTGACAGGGATTCATCATTATTTATGAAATCTTGAAGACTTGGTCCCTTTGAAATACGATCTTTGATACTTTCGAAATTGGATTTATATATTTTGAAACCCTAAAAATAGATTTGTTCTGGAGGAAAATCAGAAATAGTTATTTTTTATTAATATTCACCTTTGAACCAGTTTTGAAGAAAATTCTGTTCCTCTGCATCATTTTTATAATTGGAATTGATATCAATTAATCAATATGAATAATCGTAATATTCATAATCAATCCACAAATCAGAAATCACAATCATCAAATCATCACAAGAGCATTTGACAACACTGCTTTGAGACTTTGAGTGCTTTGCAGATCTTTTCTTCTTCTATTTTTTTTGGATTATTCTCAAAGTGGACTAAACCATTTTAAACATTAAAATTCTTCTTCTTTACTTTGGAATGATTTTTAGGCTTGGGTGTTTCGTTTTTTTAAATTTAACACACATGTCGTTGGTTAATGATGTTTTGAAAATTAAAAAATAATCATTTCTTTTTCTACTATTTCTAGAAGATGGAATTCGAGGTGAGTAATTTTCTTTCTCTATATTATATTTGTCTCTATTCTCCAACTAATGATTTTTCTGTTTAGGGGACAGTAACAAATGTTAATTCCGATTTCTGGTATTTTGATTTGAACAACCAAACCAGAGTTCATATGAGTATATTGGTCTCCCAAAATTTATCTTATAAGCTACCAGAGCTGAATTCGAAGGTATCACTAAAGAATGCACACCGCTATGGTTCAACATTTGTTGCATGTGGTGCATCAGTTATAAATGGCTCCCTCAAAGAAAACATTCATCATTCCCATAAGTTCATCAACTTTGTCAGTACCTATCATTTAGGTGCTTCAGACTTAATAATGATTGATAAATGTTTGCAAATGTTAGAAAAGAATTTCAATGATATGGAGACCAATTTGAGGCATTCACTGGTTTTTTCCTTACTGGAGAATGCCATTCAACAGTCTGAGACAAAAGTACACAATAATAGCATTTGCTGTAAGAATAAAATTATCTCCTATATGGATATTATATCTGTGACTTCCTGTAGGTTTATAAAAATAGAACCCAAAAGTTACCCTGATTTCCCTTATTGGAGCTTTGGCATACATAGGAAGCCTTCTAAAAATTTCATGCTTTTTGGCATTCTACAAGTCCACAAGTATTATGGTTTCTTCATGCTGAAAGATTCCTTATACCAGATAGTATGTGTAATATACAACTGTACTGCTAAGGAATTATGTGAATTGGACAACAAATATATTTTGATAAAAGACTACAGAGTGATTACAGAGATATACAATGCAGATGGAGTTCCAAATGTGGAGTATATAATTGTTGACTTTGCACATATATTAAAAATGTCTTCTACCCAAGGTACCATCCAACATAAAAATTTTGGTGCTAATTTTGACCAAACAATGTACAAATACAGTGTTGGATTTGAAATAATAAAAAAAAGTAATGTGAGTTGTTTTGTCATTTTGTTAATTCATTATTTCAATTAATTTCATTTCATTCAGGTTTTGATAGGAACTTCTAAGGAACCAGAATTTTATTTAGAAATTTTGATAAGTAATATAAATGGATCCAAGACCTCAGAGAAGGCCTTTCTGATTTTCCCAAGTGAATATACTCCATCATTGATATATCTTGAAATCAATGGTATCTACAAACTACACCACAATGAACCATTGTATGTATAAATCAAAATACTTTTTGCCTGTTCAGTATAATTATCAAGAGTTTTAGGCAAATAACTAGGTGTTCTGAATTGATTTATATAGCCAACTACAAAACCTATGAAATCAAGGAAAAAGGGGCTCATTTCCAGTTGCAGAAAACTCTGAAAGAGCCTGAAAGTATCATGACTGTGGAAGAATGCAAAAACTCTTTGTTAAACAGAACTAGTCTATGTTCATTTAAAGGTGTTTTAAAGCAAAAAAAGTTTGCCAATTCTTTATCATCAAGAACTATAAAGAGAACCAAACTGTATGGTTTTGGAACACCAGGTAAAATGGAATAATAATAAATAATGAAATCTTCATTGGTAGGTATTGAATAAATTGAAAAAACTTGCAATCAATTTTATTATTTGTTTACTGGCATAGACACATATTCCTTGAACTAAAACAATATGAGTTTCTAAATACCATTTTTCATTTTAGCCCTTCATATTCGATATACAGGGTGTCAAAGTTGGAAATTAAAAACTGTTTTTTTCTAATTACTCGCGTATTTTATAAGATATTAATCTCAAAATTGGTACATTACTTCAGCACAAAGAGTTACATCGTGTGAGGAAAACAAAACAGAAAATAACTGTCAAATATTCAAAATACTGGGGGGTCAAGTACACACTTCCCCCCATATTTTTTTTGTACGTGCGCTAATGACTTCCTATCTTTTTACCTTCAAGTGTTCAATCATTTTTGAGTATTTTTTGTTTCTTGTAGAATTTCGATTAAATCATTTGGTAATCTCATGTTCACATACTCCTATTTATTTCGTCGAAATTGGAAGAGGGCGTATCTTTTTACGTACGAAAAGGTAAATATGGAAATACCGGGTGCTCAGAGCAAATGTACTAGAATAATTTTTAAACATTTGCTCTAAGCACCTGGTATTTCCATATTCACCTTTCCGATGCTTTCCGTACGTAATAAGATACGCCCTCTTCCAATTTCGACGAAATGAATAGGAGTATGTGAACATTATGAGATTACCGTAAGCCGCGAGGCATCAAACAGTAACCAGTACTTTTCGAATTATCTTAAAAACAAATAATGTTATCGGAATTTTACAAAAATCAAAAAATACTCGAAAATAATTGAACACTTGGAGAAAAATAGATAGGAAGTCATTAGGGTTAGGGCACGTACAAAAAAAATATGGGGGTAAGTGTGTACTTGACCCCCAGTATTTTGAATATTTGACAGTTATTTTCTGTTTTGTTTTCCTCACACGATGTAACTCTTTGTGCTGAAGTAATGTACCAATTTTGAGATTAATATCTCATTGAATACGCGAGTGATTGAAAAAAAAACAGTTTTTAATTTCCAATTTTGACACCCTGTATATCGAATATGAAGGGCTCAAATGAAAAATGGTATTTAGAAACTCATATTATTTTTGTTCAAGGAATATATGGTTAATGGATTGACTTCCTTTTAGCGGACACCCTGTATTTGGCCATTGTTGATCTAAATGAAGAAGCTAGTTAGTAGGCCAGAAGAATTAGATCAACAATGGTTTGGCCATCAGATTATCTCCAGTTTTGTGAATAACTATTCTGAACATTAACAAATGCTAATTTTCATTTTTAAAAATTATTTCCAACACGTTCGGCAATGCCGTCCGCCAAAACTTTTTCTTCAATTACAGTAACTTGTGATGCCGAGAACGGTATACATAATGATTGGAAACCCTGTTTCTCTTAATATAACTTCACCTCACAATTTTTATTTGGTGAGCTCATATCCCTATGATGGAAGTGTGAATCTTTTTTTTTTTGGTAATGGAATCATTCTTATACAGAATGTTTCATTGGGAAAGGTAAATAATTCAACTGTGGATAGGGGTCACTGGGGTGATTTAAAAAAACCCATGGTTAATGGGTCTTGGACTTCTTATAACCGAGATACAGGATGTTTCATCAATTTTGTCCATATCTTCATTGTCTCATAACTTTCCAACCAATCTGTATATATTTTTAAAAATTGGTACACTTGCTCAATCTACCCTGTGGAATTGATTGAGGGAACAACAAAAAATGAAATCCAGGCCCGGCTTCACTCAAAATTCACACATTATTTCTGCCAGAAAACAACACCCTATACATTTGAATTTCTCATTTTTTGACATATCTGAAAAAAGCATCAAAATGTCTATTCCGCGATGTGCTTTTTCCTCGTGCACAGACGATTTTAACTATTCATATTATGTGCTCAAAATATTATTTTTGCTCATTTTGGGGTACAAAATTGGAATCAGACGAGATTTATTAATTTTATTACTTCCTATTCAGTATACGTGAGTATTACATTTAGAAGGAGTATTTCATATCGTTTTTTGTTCCAGACTTAGTTGCAGGTCCGTCATCAAAACTATACAGGGCTTTTCACGATGAGCGTTAATTTGACGTTTTCGGCAAACCAGGCAACGGATAAATCTGAAATTTCGATGGTATGTATAAATTAACATAATCTACACGTCTGAAATATTTGAAACGATCCGGCCTTGCCGCTTCTACTAGAAAGTAGCAGCAACTTCGATTTTTCAAATGGGACACCCTGTATTTCATTACATTCTTGGATTCTTGCTGAACAGCAGAATTCATCGATTCAAAACATTCAAGGTCTAGCGGGACTGATAACTGAGATATAGGATGTGGAAAATCGAGATGTTTCAACTTTAGAAATGTTTTGTGTTGAAACTATTTATTATTGCATGGTCAAAACGGCTTCAATGCCCCTATCTCAACTTTCCATTCGATTTTCAATTGAAACAGATACAGGGTGATGCAGAAATCTGAATCATGAACCATCATGTATTTGTTTCCATTAAATGTCAATAGATACAAAGTTGAGATAGGGACATAAAAGCCGTTTTGATCATTAATAAATATTTTCGCAAAATAATTCTAAAGTTGAAACATCTCGATTTTTCTCACTCTAAATATCTCAGTTATTAGTCCCACTAGACCCCGAACTTTGTGAATCGATTAAATCAGCTCTTCAGGAAGCATCCAGGGTGTCCCATTTGAAAAATCGAAGTTGCTGCTACTTTCTAGTAGAAGCGGCAAGGCCGGATCGTTTCAAATATTTTAGACGTGTAGATCATGTTAATTTATACATAACTTCGAATTTTTAGATTTATCCGTTGCCTGGTTTGCCAGAAACATCTAATTAACGCTTATCGTGAAAAGCCCTGTATAGTTTTGATGACGGACCTGCAACTAAGTATGGAACAAAGAACGATATGAAATACTCACGTATACTGAATAGGAAGTAATAAAATTAATAAATCTCGTCTGATTCCAATTTTGTACCCCAAAATGAGCAAAAATAATATTTTGAGCACATAATATGAATAGTTGAAATCGTCTGTGCACGAATAAAAAGCACATCGTTGAATAGAAATTTTGATGTTCTTTTCAGATATGGCAAAA